AAAAAGGAGGTTCTAAAAATGTTAGGTTTTCACAGAATTCCTCCAAGTTGCAATTGTGATTCATGACACAAATTTGTACAGCAGCCCCCCCTTTACAATATGAGTCATTAATAAAATTGCACCAACCAAATTAATTCTCAGTGACTATCAAACACTCCATTATAAAATGAAGTAAAATGACACCGGGCATTTCCGTACGTCCATTTAGGAATGGGAAGTAGTTATTGTAGTTGAAAGCACAGGACGCGTATGTAAACGGATGGGTAATAAAAGTTATGGTTTAGTGTGAACTTTCCACTCGTTAAAAACAAATGAACTTGGACTCTAATTAATTCGCCAAGCATGCTACAACCCAAAACATAGTCCTCCCAATTCACAGAAAATGTGTAGCCACTACAGAGGCTGCATATTAAACACCGCCATAGAAGCTTTTTTTCGCAGGTAGTAAATGCAGGGAGTTTACATCTTCACCACTATTATTGCATTTCCTCACTCAGTGAAATTAAACCACCTTCACTATTTTGATGGAGAAACAGCACTGGTTTGGTATCTTCAAACAAATGAACATTTTAAGATTTCCTTCAAGCCCTTTGAAAACAACCCAGAAGTGACAACGATATGTTTCTGTGTAATTCGAACCCTCAAATAAAGTTGACCCCCATAGTTTAAGGCCACGTAACGCTCAATGGGTCCACATCTTCAAAAAGGATTCTCGTACTATTCAGGAACACCTGAATGACGGTGGCTGTTTAGAGATAGGGAGACATTTATGCCATTTGTTGCAGCACAGTGTAAGATTTCTGAAAGTTAATGGGAGGGAAAGGTCTCTCGCCGAGAATTGACTGCAATTTTTCAGGGTGGCCACTCTCGAGTCCAATTGCGAGGTAGTCGTCATCTTCGTGCTCTGCCTTTCCCATCCACATGATCAGACTCGCATTTGAGCTTGTGCGGAAGCTGAAAGAAACCTGTGTGTATTTTTAAATTTCTCACGTTGTATCTTGGGTCCCAGTTATCTAACAACGAGTTTCCCACAAACTTTAGTGTGTCTGTGGATATTTCTGTGTCACAGTACCTCCCTCCCTCCTAAGGGGCACATGCCAGCGGTATGAGGTCACATTGAATGGAGCGCACAAGGAGCCGTGTATGCACATGTTGTTTGCACAGCTGACAGACTGGTTGCACCAGCAGAGCCAGTCCATGATGGTGGCATATACATGTGAATGAGTGACTCGCTGCCCTGCAGTGACCTCCATTTTGGCACACCTTGTACCCGCAGGCCGTCCCATCCCAGTCCCCTACGTTTGCTCCCCCTACTGCCCCACCTCTGTTAACCCAAGCTCTTGACCGTTGACTAATAAGTTCTCTTAGCCCGCCAGTGAAGCCATTGGCTCCCCTTCGGTTGCATCGTGGAGACGAAACTGAGAGTGGACACACCTCCGACGAAGATGTCTGTAGCGACATCGAGGGTGGTCATCCTTCAGTCCACATTCTCTATAACCTCTTTATTATCCAGACTGAGGAAGCCTTGCTGTCCAATTCGGCCAGCCTTCACCGTGTGCCAGGTCCTGCCCGCGCGAGTCCACTCGCCCAACGGACTGCAGCATGTGGGTGCCGTCTCCCAGATTGAACCGCAGCTGACAAACCCAGATTTCAAGGAGAGCAAAGAAAAAGTCTCCTGCAGGAAGAAATAAAACAGCAGTCTAGTAATACAGACTCAGTGCACTTATTTGTACAGTAGAAACTAGTTTCAATGTAACCTGTTCACAGCAATAACAGTTACAAGGACATTGTTTTATGGACAGACACATTACGTTTAATTTTTTTTAATGTAATATTTAAAACATTGTTGAGCAACAAGCAAAATTCTGCTCATCCCTATCTGAAGGCTTTAAAAAATAAAAGCTAAACTAACAGGCTGAACTGTCTACAGGATGTTCAACAAAGACTCTTTCTTCTATAAGCCTCTCGAGCAGCATGGATTTTCATTTAATGACCCTAAAAATCAAGCCATATTAACTGGTATTTCTTAGTATTTCTTAGATTTTGATTCTAAGACTTAATTATTTTATTTTTTGTTACATATTTTTTGTTTCATTTTACATTTTTTGGTCTCTGCATGTTCCAGGTCTCTAATGTTGAAGTAAAGCTGGAATTTTTGGGTTCGGAGTGCAGTGTGTTGTGACCAAATCAATTTTAATAAAAATTCTATCATTTGAGTAACTGTTAAAGGCGCAACAAGGTAAAACCTTCCAGGATTTCACAAGAAACAAGTTCAAAGAGAAGTCAGATAAAAGAATCCTAATTGAGTAGCAGAACAAATTTTTTTCTTTTCAGCCTGTCCTGTGAATCACCTTGAGGCCCTCCAGATTCATCTTGTGACGTCCAGGTTTGCAACAACTACACTAGAGGTTTTTTTGTTGTTGTTGTTTTTTGAGCTGAGGCTTTTTTAGGTCTTTATTAGGTCTCAAACATTAAGCCCAGATCAGTGACCACCCCATCACCAAGAAAACCCAACAGTTCCCACCATGAGCGAGCACTTGGCGACAGCGGAGAGGAAAAACTCCCTTTTGATGGGGAAAGGGAACCGGACCTCAAGGTGGGCAGCCATCTGCCTCGACCGGTTGGGCTGAGAGAGAGAGAGAGAAATGAGGGAGAGAGGGGGGAGTAACTCTGTATTCAGTAACTGGATGTAGGCGCCAATTCAGGAGGTCTATAAATTGCCATCCGGTCTTCATACTCCAGATCATCGCGTTTTGCTCAATATCTCTTCACTGCATCCTCTAAATGCCAGGCCCAGTCACAAAAAATCTCATAAACTACTGGCCTCGACACCAGTTCACTTCCTTGTACTCCTCTGGTGTCCTTAGTCTCCACTCTTCGTCCAGTTCCGAGGTGAAATGCATCCAACTGTATTTTCCAGCAATCAGCTCTGGTGATCAACTGGTCGGCCCAGCAGCTGCAACATAGCTTTCATCCAGTGATATGGACAGTTACCAGGGAAGAGAAGAAGTACAGAAATGCCATGGCGCAGCCCACTCCCACGTATAAACAGATTCAGACAAAGGGAGGCCCCAAGGTCACTTCTGGAGCCCTGCACTGGCCCGCATGAGCATTCCAAACCTCCGCTTGGCTCACTGGAAGGGCCAGACCGAAGTCGATCAGCTTGATCCTGAATGGCTGATCCTTGTGGTTAACAAGCATAATATTGCCAGGTTTCAAGTCTGTGTGCATGATTCCAATATTCTTCAGGGCATCAAAAGCAACAAGTAACTGGTGGGTCACAGGCTGAATTTCACTGCCACTTCAATGGCTCCTGCTTACTCTCCTCCATTAGGTCCCAAAGGCTCCTGTCTAGCATTTCGAAGGCCGACAAGAGAGGTCGTTGAACCATGAAATTCTCCATGAATCTTATAATGTTCTTTTTGTCTGGGTCTAGAGCCCTGACTGCCTGTAGCATCGCCACTTCCCTTTGAATGATGTGATCTTCAATCTTTTTGTGGATTTTGATTGCCAAAAAAGTTCTAATGA